GTTGATGTCGTATTCCTAGGTTTTGCCAAAGCATTTGACAAAGCACCACATCAAAGGTTGCTCTATAAACTGTAACTATAAAATGTATGGAATCAAAAGAAATCTTCTTAATTGGATTGAAGCTCTCCTAACCAACAGATCTCAACGAGTTATCCTTGGTAACACTCAGTCGAATTGGTTACTAGTGACTAGTGGTGTTCCGCAAGGTTCAGTCTTGGGTCCAGTTTTATTTGTCATTTACATCAATGACCTACCAGATGTCATAAGCAAAAAAAACATTTGTAAAATCTATGCTGATGACACTAAAATTCTCAGCGTTGTCAATACACTTGCAGCTCAGCTTCAACTGCAATCAGACATTGATGAAATTGTTCTTTGGAGCAAGTCTTGGCTCATGGAGTTAAACGTAAAAAAAATGCTAAGTCATGCACTTTAGTCAAAAAAATGCAATTCCCTTCGAGTACTCAATGGAAGGAACTGGCTATAATTTGATTGTGACGCGAACAAATTTGGAAAAAACCACCTCTGAACGTGACTTGGGAATCCAAACTACTAATGATCTTAAAGTGGAAAGCCAATCCATCATCGCATCATGTAAAACAAACCAAATGCTTGGTATTTTAAAACATACCTTCCAATGTCGTGATGCTTCTCTGTGGAAACAACTATACTCCACCTATGTCCGTCCTCTACTTGAATTTCCTATCCCAGCTTGGAACCCTCTCTTGGTGAAAGACGAGCAAGTTATTGAGAAAAAACACAGAGCCACAAAGATACCGCACAAATTGAATCTCTAATTGACCGCCGTAAACGAGGTGACCGCATCAAAGTGGTAGAAAATCTATACTTACAGCTCGCCAACAGCAACAAATTCTGCAAGCCGCTGGTAACCGCACAATCTCTGCGAGACAAATAGGTGCTGATTTGGGATTGAATCGCTCAAAATGATCGGTGAATCGGGTAATTAACTAGTCAGATATTCTTAGATATGCAAAAAAACGCACATTTCCAGAACTAACTGAAGCACACAAACGCATCCGTCTTCAATGGGCTAAGGACTACATGACTTGGGAAAAGGAATGACAAATAATTGTATGGTCTTATAAAAAAATTCAATCTTGATGGTCCAGATGGCTTCAATTACTACTGACATAACAGAAACATAAAAAGAAAGGTTATGAGAGGCGAAGGAGCAACGATTTGGGGTGCGTTAAGTTACATGCGGTAGTGGTGTAGTGGCTCGCTTTGTAAGCGATAGGTTCTGAGTTCGACTCCCACCATGTCCCTGCAAGTATCGCAATTAACTTAATTTCTCCGCGCAGCGACCTTGCTTGTCAAGGTTCGTGTTTCGGAGTTAAAGAGTTGAGAGAGGGTTGTATCACGATTTACAACAAAAAAAAAAATAATAAACAAAAAAAAAATAAAAATAAAATTAAAAATTAAAAAAAAAAAAAGAGTAGCCTCCTCGACTGTTGTGGCCCCCTCGGGCCTTGGGGAGGTGAATAAATAATAATAAAAAAAAAGTTATTTTGAAAAAACTTCCATTTGCTTTATTACTACTAAATTGATGCTGAAGGATATAGAAACTTGTTGAATAGTCATGTAAATGATGTTTTGCAAAAATTTGGTAACACCAATTTTATTTTCCAGCAAGAAAATGCTCCGATTCATAGAGCAAAATCAAATATCTCATAGGTTAGAAAATTCAGTTATTAGAATGGTCAGCGCTCACACCTGATTTAAATTCCATCGAAAATGTATGGGGCATCTTAGCAAGATGTTTTTACGCAGAAGGGAAACAATATTTCAATGTCGATGAATTGAAAAAGACAATTGAACATGTTTGGAAGAACATATCTCTTGCAGATCTTAGAAAACATTTGGAAAGTGTGCCAAATCGAATATTTGAAGTTATTTTTTAGAATGGCAACAATAAAACAATGTATTAATAATAAATTCAAATTTTAATACAAAACATTATGGAATTTTGTAGAATAAAATTGAAATGAGGTTATAATTTTGAACCATATTTTTCTAGAAATTTCAAGTCAATTAACAAAATGAAACCAGACTCTATTACAAATGAAATATTAATCAAGGAAGATATTAAGCAATTGAATAATTTAAAAATATTTATTTTATTATTTGTGAGATCTTGAATTTTGGGTGAGGTTATTAACTTTCACCATACTATATATATATATATATATATATATATATATATATATATATATATATATATATGTATATATATATATATATATATATAAATATATATATATATATATATATATATATATATATATATATATATATATATATATATATATATATATATATATATATATGTTTTTATAAACAAAGCAGCCCTTATGAGTTTGTAAATGAATTGTTGAGTCAACAATACATTTGAAACTTATATTTTAAAATTAGGAGTTTAAAGAGTTTTTCATTGAAGCCCTGTGTATCTATTTAAAAAACAATTTTTGTCATTTGTGCGCTCCTTCTGATCCTGCGCCTAAGTAAAAAGTACCCAGTGACCCCCCACGCGGCGGCCCTATATATATATCAAATCAAATCAAATCAAATATATATTCTGAATAAAGTTGTTACATCAAGGATATTTACAAATAGTAATTTGTACTAATATAAAGTAAACACCTGTCAAACTCAATAAAAATAAGACGGAGATAGTAATAATATTAATTATAATACAAGTAGTTTTATTATTTCTATTACTTTTATTATTCATAAAAAATGATTATTATAGTTACAATAATATTCATTATGATAAAAATATAGTAATAATAACAACAACAGTGTTGTTATTACTATATTATCAACATATTATTGTAACTATAATAATAAAATTATTATTATAGTTACAATAATATTCATTATGATAAAAATATAGTAATAATAACAACAACAGTGATAAGAGAATACTATAGAGACATATCAGTTTATAATAATAAATTTAATAATTGATATTAAAGTTAGTAATATATCACGATAGAAAAGAGAAAAAATAAAAGATGAATAGAAGCACCGCGTTAGGGTTATAAATAATAAGTTGCAAAAGGTATAAGATTTATAATGAGTATTTTTCAAAAAATGGTTAAAGAGAGCAGTTTTAAATTTTGAGAATGATAATATATATATATATATATATATATATATATATATATATATATATATATATATATATATATATATATATATATATATATATATATATATATATATATTAGATATAAACTAGGCTACCCATTATTAACTAGATATAAATCTAGTTAATAGTGGGTAGCCAAGTAACTTTAAATTCAATATAAGGAACGAATTCATTGATGCCTTGTATAAGGCATAAATATTCAAAAGGTCTGCTTTGTTGCTATAAAATATGCTCTCTCTCTCTCTCTCTCTCTCTCTATATATATATATATATATATATATATATATATATATATATATATATATATATATATATAAATATATATATATATATATATATATATATATATATATATATATATATATATATATATATATATATATATATATATATATATATAGAGAGAGAGAGAGAGAGAGAGAGAGTGAGAGCATATTTTATAGCAACGAAGCAGACCTTTTGAATATTTATGCCTTATACAAGGCATCAATGAATTCGTTCCTTATATTGAATTTAAAGTTACTTGGTTACCCACTATTAACTAGATATAAGTAGTTCATATGTAAGATTAATATTTATCAATATATTTTAATAAATTTTTTTAAAAAGATTTTGGTCATTAGGCTTTCTGATCCTGCGCCAGGCTACAAATAACCTAGTTCCATCCCCTTCCTTAATAGCGTCTACTATGTGCACAAATATACTTTTTCTTATGCAGTATTTTTAAAACTCGAAACTAAAAACAAATTCACTGAAAAGCGGCCTTAAAAATTAAATAAATATATATCAGTCACTGATGAGAATAAAAATTTTCAGTGTAATCAGGCTTGAAAAATCGTCGACCTATAGAAAATCTCATGAACTTTGATTTATAAGAATTTTTTGTGGAATAAACCCTTTTTTTTTTAGAGAAGAATAAACCAAAAGTTTTTAATTAGTTCTTCACCTGCTGTAAAATCCGCATTTGACCGCATAATTAAAAAGAATTACAATGTTTTACATATTCTGTAATTTCCCTACCTTTAAACCTACACTTTTATGAGAAATCACCAACGTCTATTAAATTCCTGCCCCCACCCTTTTTTCACACTCCCATTTTTATTTAAGCCAAAAATTTTTTAAATAAATAGTTCAAAAATAAAACAACTTGTTTTTGTTCAATCGTGAGAAAAATTATTATATAAAAATATCCGAAAATTACATGAAATTAGCATTAAACTATTTTTTCTGGTTTATTCAAAATGTATTTTTTTTAACTCGTTTTATAATAATACATAAAAAACTTTTAGAAACAATGCACTCTAAAAAATTAAGCACAAGTTTCTACCTTAGGGTAGGGTAAAGTGATATAGCTTTAGTAAGGTATAATATTTAACCTTAGAAAATTATATTACAAATAATTATTTGTCATAAAGTTCTACCTTAAAAAGCTGAAAATTGTACCTTACTAAGAGTTATCAAATATCCTACCCTAATTAAAATTCAATAAAAATTAAACATGATTGAAAGAAAACTTAATTAAAATTCCGAAAATCCGACTTGAATTTGCTAAAAGTTCATTTAATATATATATATATATATATATATATATATATATATATATTATATATATATATATATATATATATATATATATATATATTTATATTTATATATATACACACACATATATATATATACATACACACATATAAATATATATATACATATATGTATATATAAATATATGTATATATGTATATATATTTATATGTATATATATGTATATATATATTTATATGTATATATATATATATATATATGTATATATATACATATATATACATTCGCGAGCCTTTTAATACAAATTCAAAAAAGTCCTCCATCAACATCAATAAAAATCATCAAAAAAGAATATTAAAAATAACTACACTATTTTCTAGTATCAGATATATCAGATCGATAGTAATTTGTAGGACCATTTTGACTTCCATTTTTATAAGAGACGTCTCGCCTAGCATTATTTTGATTTATGGATGTATTTCTATTAGACAGATCTTTCTTCTTATTATTTTGACTTTCAATTTTATTAGAAACGTCTTGCCTAATATTGCTTTGGTTTGTAGACGATTTCGTATTAGAGGAAACAAGATTAGCATCATGTCGTTTGCTAACTGGTTTTGTGTTACCAACATCACGCTTACCAGTTGTTGGGTTAGTAACAACTTTAGAATAGAAAGGCAAATTTGAAACATTTTCTAATTGTGTTGTGTTGTGTTGTTGTTGTGAAGCATGTTGTGCGAAAGATTGCTTTCCAAGAAAACAATTCTCTCCAGAACCAATTTGCTTAACTGAACAAAGCGCAGGAAACTCGTCATTTAACCCATTATGATGTTTTTCAAAACCATTTTCTCTATGAGCATTTTCATTTTTTGAAAAATCTTTTTTCCGCATAAGATTTTCTAATTTCGTTTTGTTTGCAATTTGCGTTTTTTGGTCGTTTGTTTGATAGTCACGGCATTTTTGATTTCTTAAATTACTGTTCTGACTTTGTAGACGACCTTGAAAAGTACAATCTCTTTTAAAATGACCACTTTGACCACAGTAAAAGCATCTCAAATCATTATCTTTGGTCAGCAACTGAAAAACAAGAATGTTAAATTTTACATTTAATAACGTTAATAACGTCTAATAACATTATTTTAAAATTTGTATAAATTACAAATATTAGGCTTAAGCATTAATAATTAGAAAAAACGATAAAACATTAAATAAAAATAGACTTATAACACATGCAGTGTTATACTAATACAGAGTTCCAAAAATATTTTTCAAAAAGTTAAAAGTTTTACAAGTACTATTAAATAATAAGAACAAAGTGGGAAAATAAAAACCAGTATCGAAACTTTCACTATAACTGAATATCTAATTTTGTTTGTATTTACTGGATATTTTAGTATATAAAAATACCAGGTAACCAACTATATGTTAACACAACCAATACTATCTATTAACAAAGCTAATTGCGTATTTCTTAACAAAACAAAGTTATTTTTTAAATTTTTTCTTTATCCAAGGTTTAGATAACATTTTTTAAGTAGAAACTATGAGAAAAAGATTTTATTTGGTAAATTTTAAAGTCATAGCGTGAACTATGTGTTTGCTACATCCAAGGAATTTAATAGTATAAAACGGAAAAATTTTAATTTAAAAAATCTAAAAACAAAATAATATCATACTTTTTTTTCACCATTTTTATCAATGTCAACTTTGATAATTTTACCACTAAAAAAAATTCAATAGATCTATTTTAATAAAATATTTAAAACTCGCAAAATAAACAAGTCTTTTGTAACAATATTGTTTCTGAAATAAACAAATCTATACTTTGCAAAAATATAATCTGCAAAATAAACAGGTCTATCATTTTAAATAATGTAAAACAAACAAACCTATCATTTGGAACAAAACCATCTGTAAAATAAGAACCATTAAAGTAATATTCTTTGTTGCTGAGTTTTCTTGAATTAGAGAAAGGAGAACCAAAGTGTGAGCGAGCCCTGTTGAAGCATGACATGATTTTATCAAACATATCATCTTTAACCCCTGCGGCCAAGTTATGGTCAAGATCAAAAGGATCTGAAATTAAATTTAAATTAATAAAAATACTAACAATAACATAACAACGAAATACTAATAATAAAAATAGTAATACCTTCAATTGCCATAGAGCAATTCCACCATTCCTTCTGACACTTTGAAAGAGAGTTTTTTTGTCGAATGGCTATAACAAATCTTTTGAAAAAAAACTTCTCAACGTAAAAGTTGAAAAATCCAATCCAAAGTTCTGCTAAGGTCTGTTTATTTTTTCCATAATCTTTCCACACTGTATCCTGAAACATTTTAGGTGGTTTATGTTTACCATACATATTTTGTTTTCAATATAATTTATATACTGTCTGCAATATACTAAATAGCTTATAACTTATTGTTGTTAAAATTTATTCTAAGCAATTAAAATAACTCATGTATACTATAAATTACATATGCTTTAAAGAAATTCATTACAATATTTTTATTTAGGTGTAATACAACTTCTTTAAATAAACAATTATAACAACTTATTTAAAAAAAATGAATACTTAAATATTTGAATATGGTATAATAAAATATTTAATATATAAAATAAAGTAACCTCCTTAACTGCTGCGTAACTGTTGTATTCTGTTGGGAATTAAAAAACAATAAATGCATAATGCGGCTTTACTACACTACAAATGTTCAACTGTTATTAAAAAAATTACTAAACTTTTTTGTTGTTGTTACAACCTTTCCCCTCTAATCACAAGACAACTGTAAAAAGATGAGGCAAGGTTCTAATTCCAAAATACTGTTGCTACAAACCTTCCCTAATTTAATCACAAAACAACTGTAAAGAGACGTGGCAATGTTATAACTCCAAAATATTGTTTCTAGAATCCTTCCACACCTCTCTAATCACAGAACTGCAAAGAGATGTGATAGTGTTTCAACTCCAAACCTCTCACCATTGAAACACACACCAATCCTCCATTATGGAATATAACTGTTATTTATGTTAGAATAATCACCATTCTTTCTGGTTTATAATAATTACGTTTTTTAAAAATGTAATAACAACAACAATAAAAAATGAATATATAATATACTTACAAGATTTTGAATATCATCAAAAAACCATGTATCTTTTCCATCAATTAAGAATGTCTTTTTTTTATCAACTGCAAGTTCTTGTAAAACAGGAATAACTGGTGGTTCACAATGTTGCAAATAGTATAACATTAGTAAAATGTATGCATATGAAGAGAGACTACCATGAGAAGCATCACCTATGTCACAAATCTATAAAAAGACAATACAACATGTAGATATTCTTAAAAAATAAAGCTACTAGCAAAAGCATAACTTATTTCAAAAATCTACAAAAAAAAAAACCATTTAAATTTGTGCATTAAATGTCTTTTGTGAAATTTGAAAACTATTGTCTTTTGCTTCACTTATCTTGTATAACTTTTTGCATTATATACAGAAAAGGATCATAAAACATGAATCACTCAAGTAAAAATGAAAGTAAAATGTTTTATAAAGTTCAAAATGATTGACCAAAGTAAAGCAAATTAAAAAATAAAAGAAAAAAAGAAAATTTAATATTTTTACATTTGTTATAAATTATATTAATATAAAATTTTATGACTATTTACATTATTATTACAAAACGTACATTATTGTAAGTTTAAAATAATAATCAAGTCAGTTCAATCTTGATTATTTCCATTAAAAAATTAATTTTCACACAGGAAAAACCTATATATTAATAGTTTATAAAATTTAAGTTTATAATTATGAAAAGATATTTATATTTATATGCAAAAAAAATAAATAGGATAAGTTGCTTGTGTGATATCACTATGGTTGGTTGAAATTTGAACTCACTAAAATTGGTTACATCACTCTAATTGATTGAAATTTGAACAACTTTAAAGCAAGTTTTCTCAAAAACCTCTTGCAAATTCTAATAAACTTTTCTACTGATGCATAGTTTTTTGTTCATGGGTGTAGTTTTAGGGTGTAGGATGTAGTTTTGTTTACATCTGATTTTTTCAAATGTTTAGTAAAAACTCTAAAAATCGAATAAATTTTTTGGAATTTTTATACTTAATTATTTTAAATTGAAAATCCATTAATTTGATTGGATAACATGATAAATTATAGTTATATTAAGTAATTTCAAAAATATGAAAAGTACCAAAATATTGAAGTTGTCTTATATTTCAAGAAGAATAAAATCATCTTTTTACAGTTGTCTTGAGATTTGAAAATCGGCCGAAAATCAGAAAAATCAGAAAATCTTAAAACAGGGACATGGTCAAAAATCAAGATTTAATAACAAAAAGATGACTTGAATCATCAAAACTCAATCACAACAAACATTTTATTTTTTAATAAAAGAGTTTAAATGCAAATTTTTTATCCAAAAAATATTGAAAAAGGAAAATCTGAAAACTTATCACAAGAAAAAAATTAGAAAAAAGGGAAAAAGATCACTTGACGGAGAAAGTAGCTAATTAGAAAAGCTCAATATTTGTCTAAATTAGTAACGAAATTTTTTTTGGTGTATTTTAGAAAATAATGAAACTTACTGTAAAAAAGATCACTTGATGCTTCCACGTAATCAAAAACATTATTAGTTAAAACATTATAAAGCGTCTGAATTAAGTCAAAAAAAAGCTAGAAAGCTACTTTTATTGCAGACTATTTGCAGTTGTGGCTTTAAAAGCTTTTATATCAAACAAAAATTTGACAACAATCTATACATTACTGAATGCTTGGATAAGCAATTTCTTCCATTAGTTAAAATCATAAATAACCAAGTTAATTTTGGCCAGATCAAGTATTGATTTATTATTTCAAAAAAGTAATAGATAGGTTTATTAAAATTAACCGTCAAAAACATTACAAAGGATGCTAATCTACCAAAATGTTCTGAGCAGTGACTCATCAAACTTTACTGGGCAAAAAGTAACAGAATACAGAGGAAAAGAGGCTTTTTTTTAATGTTAATTTACCTCCCCAAAGCTATGAAGGCCACTACAGCCAAGAAGATTTCTCTTAATTGTGGTTCTCTCTATCTCTTTAACTCGAAACACAAACCTTGACAAACTAGGCACAGAGAATCAAGTTGAGAGCAGTGGGGACGTGGTGGGAAACAAACTCAGATCTTCTTATTAGGTTTTTTATTAGGACTTTAACAGTTTTACAGCTTGATACTCTGAGATTTTTAGATTAACGCTACAATAAAAGAATAAGTGAAATTGTGGATTTGATAAAAAATATCTAAATTTTAACTGATCATACTGATATGTTTATTAAAGAAATATTCACAAGCTAAGGTATAAATTTATGTCATTTTAATATATATTAGCTTCTATTATTAATATATATATATATATATATATATATATATATATATATATATATATATATATATATATATATATATATACACACACAAAAAAATAACATATAATTTTTTATGATATATTCATATGCTAAAAAAGCCAAGATAAGTTTGCTTGAAATTTAATATCATATTATGTTAATTATATTTATAAGACTGTAAGTGCTTAAAAGTGCTTTAACAAATCAACATTAATTCAAATTACAATAATACAAATAATAATTACAAAAAGATGGATTTACATGAAGTTCAATATCAAACTAAATTATAATGTTACTATACTTTAAAAGGCTGTAAGTGCAATCATTATTCATAAAAAAGCAGTTTGAATTGAAGATAATTTTTTTCCTTTCTTTAATTTTTAAAATTGTTGAAACTGTTCACAAAAAAGTCTTTTTAAATTGTTTAATGACTTTATCCAAAATTTTTAAGAAATAAAAAACATGCTTTTAATTTATTTATATGACATTCAAATAAGTATGTTAAAAAAAAAAAATTTAAACAATATTGAATAATAATTAAACTTTAAGACTGCTACTGAAAACAAACAATAATATATTTAAAAGTTCTGATAAAGTTTGCCAATTGAGTTTCATTTTGTTTTTGACATAATGCTTGTACGATGTTTCTTTGTGAAATTATAACACTATTAATTATTTATACCACATTTAAATTTCCAAAGTATACTAAACTTTGATAACCGAAACAAAAGATTCTCATTTTATTTTTTAATTAAATAATGAACTTATATTGTGATATCAACATGAGTTCAAAAAAGTTTAGAAGACCTACAAAAGCTTAAGAAGAAAGAATACTCTGTAAAAAAGATTTAACAGAAAGCCCTATAACTTTCACATTAGCGATTTACCAACTTTTTTACTTATTATATTTGCAAATAGCTTATTCAATACAATTACAAGTTTGAAAAATTGTAAAATTGATGTGACAAAAATCAGTTTTTTTAACCTTTGATAAAAGATAAACCATTGAGAAATATAGTTTAGAAATATAGTATATAGTAAAAAACTGGAAATTTTATCTTTGTCAGTGAGAGCTTCCAATTATTGATGATTGTAAAGATAGATAAATATAATTTTAAAACAATTTTTTTAAATATTAAGTGATAAGGGTTTTATACGTGTAGTTAGAAATCCAGTACCCTATCCAAACCTTCCCAACCCCTAACCCTACCCACCACAACCACTTAAAGTTTGTGGAAGCAATTTTTAAAATGATTTTGATTTAATAGTAAAACAATAAACATTTATGTCCCCATTATGTCGAGCACGATGAAACCAGTTGCTGGAAAGCTGGATGTTTAACAATTTAGTGCACAATGAAACACATAGTTTTTCTCTGTGAGAAAAGTAAAAAAAGTAATACATGCAATTTTTTTTATTGAATTTAAGTTAAAATACTTTTAATTTTATAATACCTTGGTCCCTCATATGGAAAGAGAATATTTAAAAGACTAATGATCCAAAATAGAACCAAAAAGATGTTAGAGTTTAGGCAGTGGAAACCGAGCAGTGGCAACAAAGTTTGCAAAAAAGTTTATTAGAGAGAAAAAAGAGGTCTGGGAAAAAAGGGGCTTTTGGAAAAAAAACAAACAGAGAAATCTTCAAATAACATCAGAAGTTGGTTCAGATACAATTTTTAGTGTTAAATCCTTAGCTTTAGATGCAGCTGAAAGCAATGAGTTTGAAGATGAAATAGTTAATGAAAAATGCTTAATTAATTTAGTTGCAAAAGACTTAATTAATTTAGTTATGCAAAATGAGTTAGTGATGCTGCTACCACTGCATTAGTTAATGCTAATTAATTAGTTAATAACTGAATATAAGGTAATTTGTGAAAAAAAAAGATTGGCTTATTCAATTGACACTATGCACTGTAAGTAGTTTTACATTTAAAAGTAACTGGTGTTGATGGAAAAAAAGACAAAATTCTTTAGTTTATGAAATGAACTGATAAATTTTTGAAAATACAAGAAGATAAATACAAGAGTAATTGGGACTATATCTTGTGTCGAACCATCGAATATGAACATCATCTCACTTTTACTTGTGAAAATATTCCTTTTTTTCTGATCATAAGATGTTCTTTTCAGCAATTGTTCTATAAGCGTTATATAAGCAATAGTTCCAGGCAATACATGTTTTTACCCTATTGTAAATGATGGGGGAGGGAAGACAACCTACCCAGTAAAAAAAAGACATCGAGCTATTGTTGAAATTTTAAAGTTGGTTTAAAATTAAACCAATTTTAGTCTGATTAACGTTAATTAAATGTAAATAAAAATACAGAGTTCATTTTTTATGTAATTTAGCTGTTTTATCTAATGATACTTTTACTTTCTTGTAGAACTAATTCTAGAGTAGAATTACCTTACAAGCTTTCTTATGTGTTTCTTGTATGAATTTTTATAGTAGTATTTTTTTATTCAAAGATAACTTTTTTATTTTTCGTAACTTGTTATAAAAAGCAAAAAAAAAAAAAAAAAATTATAGAATTTGTATTGCTATCACTTTTTTATTTTTCTTAAACATTAAAAAATGCTTTTAGTAAATACATTTATTAAGCTTTATGAAGATAGTATATATATATTTTTTTTCATAGAATACATAGTTATATAATAAATAGTTATATAATATAGTTAATATTTTTTTGAAGCAAACTGATATAAGTATATACCATTTAAAATTAACTTTTATTAATTTAATATAATATTTAATATTGGTTTACTTCTGAAAAAATTTATTTATTTTTTCTTTTAGTAATAACGAGTTACTATTTATTCTAAATGGTGTTATTTAAAGTGACTTAAGCAAGACAAGGTGTCCTTTGACATCATCTCTTGAGGTTGAGTCAAAGAAAAAGTTTT